AGAAAGACCATTTTAAGTCAATAGTATATACATACACATAAACAATTTTTAAAGAGGGTGTCAAAAAGTTTGTGGAAAGTGGAATTAAAATATAAGTTTCTTTTCATGCAAAAAAAATTGTTTTGGGTTGTCAGAAAAGTCATGCCACAATTTTGTATAGAAAAAGCATGTCATGGGGACCAGCAGATGGCATAATGGTTACTCTGCTGGACTGCCACATATTTGACTATGGTTTGAGTCCTAGACCCGGGGACTTGAACCTCATGTCGGGCACGTGAGCATGCGTGCCCAAGATCCTGAGAGGAGGGTGGAGGGGGTGGAGGGCGTAATTTTTCACTTTCTGTCTCTCTATCCCCTAGCAAGTGCACACAGACTATAGCAAAAATCTCTCAAAAAAAAAAAAAAGAAAGAAAGAAAGAAAGATAAGAAAAGAAAGGGAAAAAAAAACATGTCATGACTTTTATCTTTTTCCATGAACTTTTTGAGCCCCCCCCACATGGGTTATGCACATGGGAAATTATTACCGTATTTTATGTGTGCATATGTGGTATATCTTATGGTTACTACTAAGAATTATGAAAGTAACCTGCAATTTGAGTACTTAGGTGCAAAATGAAATGTCTGAAGCCATCAATCTTGATCTGGGAGAAGTGTGGTCCTATTTGTGTTTTGTTCTATCTCTGATGTAGGACTAGCTGTGGGCAAGCCATGCACTGTTGTGGACCTGGTTTTAGCGGCTGTCACGGAAAGGCACCGCCTGGCTCTCATCTGGGTGCTTATCCCCTCTCTATGGCACAGGGATGCAGTGACAAAGGAGGAGCCTTCCTCTGTGCCCACGTCGCACGACGTGGTGCAGCACTGGCAGTTCCTGCTGGCCCGCCTTGTCTGACCCTGCATGTTCCTGCTCTCCATTCTCCGCCAGGGTCCACCTTCCACTCCTGTCTCGCCTTCAGACTGCAAGCTCCTCCCATCCCTCCTATCCAGTCTAGGTTTCCCCTCACCCATGCGGCAGGGTCTCTGTCTCATTGATGTCAAATTGCCCTTTGAAACATGCACACTGGATCACTTTTGTCGTGGGGACTTTGGGCTCCCTCTGCAAGTTTTCCTTGAATCCACAGTAAATATTTTTAATTAACTGATAATAAATACAGCTACTTTTTATTTTTCACATTGTGAATCAAGTGCTGTTCTGGGGGCTTCACAACATGCTCTCAAACCACCTCAGCAACCCTACGCAGGCGCAATGAGGCACAGCAGGAAACGGGGCAGAAGGCTCAGACTGGAGGGCTTGTCGGCCGCAGCTAATACTGGAGTAGACAAGAGGATCTGAGCCTTTCCTTTCTGCTGTAGGACCCAACTCCCTGGTAATCAGATTCCTCAATATAACAATTTTTAAAAACTTTTTCACTGACTTTAAAAGAGAACTGGAATATTCTGCAATAACACTGTTTTGGAATAGCTGGGGCTATCCAGGGCTCAGTGAATCATTAGAAAAGCACCTGAAATTTTCATTTCAATAATGATAAGGGACCCTGTGGCCTCTATATTCCTACTGATGGGGCTGAGGTCACATCTCTCCAAGTTCCCATGTCCACACAGCAGTTCCCCCTTTAGATTCGTACCAGATTCCTGAGCACATCTAACACCATCACATTGTTGTCACCTGCTCACATGGGATCTTTCTAGAATGCCCAAAGGCAGGCTTACTCTTAACTGGTGTAAGCTCAGAGCCCGTCATAGTCTACTCAACAAAGCACAGCTAACTCAGACAGAACAAACCATCTACCTTCCAGAGAAATCTTCCTAAAATCACCTTTTTCAAAATTATTGAAAAAGAAAACGCAATGATATGCAGGTTATGCACATGGGAAATTATTACCATATTTTATTCAGATAATATAATCATGAACATGTAGCTTATAAAATTCAGTGAGCTATTGTTCCATGTAGCAGGGATAATAGAGAACTGACACCTTTGAAATGAGAACAGGAACACAGAATTTTGCTCCTCAATCTATGAGACAATACAATGTGTTTTAAAAGCACTGAGTTAATGTGGTCAAAGCACTTTCATCCCCTCTGGCTGTGCCTCTGAAAGGAAACCAGCCTCCGTGGGAGCCGCCACGCCTGGCTCCAGCTTGGGAGGGCTGTGTTCTGTGAGCACCCAGCCCAGGACTCTCGTCATCCTGTGACACTCGCCTTGTCTGCTCAGGGTCCAATGATATTGGTCATTCTGTCTCTGCTGCCCAGGTCACCCTGCCCTGCCATCTTCTGTGGAACTGATTTATTCTTTTCCTTCCCCTTATTCTTCTTGGGTTTTTGTTGTTGTTGTTATTGTTGTTTGCTTTTTAATTTAAAGTCTATTTATTTCTCCCATAAGTGAGATCTGGAGAGAGAGAGCACACCCACTGCAGAGTTTCAACACCACCATCCACCTCGGCCTCGCCCAGCCCCAGTGAATCTAATGATTCTCGGAGCCCAAGGTCCTCAGAGAGGTCTCTAGACTTGAACTGGGAACCTTGCCATGTAGGATTGCATCACAGCATGGCATTTTACTTGAAGCACTATTATTTGGCCTCCATGGGGACAACTTCTGCTCATCTTTCAAGCCCTATCTCTGGAGGTTCATTCTCAGCAAAGCCGCCCAGCCCAGCATGGGCAGTTCTGGGTGAACCCACTGTTCCACGGAGTGGCCATCACTTTCCAGCTCTGCTGCAGTCAGCTGGCCATGTCTCCATCTCCCTGGGATGACTGTGAGCTCCTCCAGGGAAGAAAGGCAGCCTCTCATCCCTAGGAATGTGTCTGGAACCCGGCATGGCAGAACGCTGTGAAGCAGACAACTGCTCTCTGCACACATGCAATGGCAGCTGAGCCTGTGTGCCAGGCGGCTTTCCAACCGTCTCACTTCAGTAACAATCCGTTTGATCCTTACCACACATCTCTGGATACAGAGCATCTACCATACCCACATTAGAGATGAGGAACCTGAAAAACAAACTAATAACTTTTTCATTCCAAGCAGCTTGGAAGTGGCAGAATCAAGACTTGAACCTAGAAAGCCTTGTGCCTATGGCCCTCACTGAATTTTGCTTCTCTATACATAGTGAGCTTTTCCTATTTCCATTTTAGAGTTGTGGAACAAAATGGCCAAGCTACAAAATTTGTTCCAACAGGACCATTTAACGAGCGAGTGACAAAGGTATCATTAGAGTGCAAGGGTTTGGACCCCTCTGAGTTCCTTCTCAGTGCATCAGACTTGTTGCCAGCACTTACACGTTACTCTCGTCTTTCCCCAGAAGGCCAATGCCGAGAACAGATACACACTCAGATCATCTCTGCAAATATGACTGTTGGAGCTTTTTCCTGGTGCTGTCCGTGCAGACAGTGTTTCCCTTGAAAGGGTGGAGACTCTTCTCTCCCTTCGAAGCTGAGCTGGCCTGGTCACCTGTCTGGGCTGACTCAATATGAGAGAAGTGACATAGACCAGTTCCCCACTTAGCCCTCAAGTGTCCTAGAATCTTCTAATTCTCCCTCTCGGTGAGCTGAGTTACCACCTATGAAATGTGAACACCCCACTGAAAACAGAGCTCAGCTGTCCCTGTCCCCTCATCCAGCCACCATAGCTGAGCAGCCAGACTGTGATGAGGATATCCTGCATGCACCCCTTCAGCTGGAAGTAGTACCCAAGGATCCCAGCCAATCCTGGGCAATTCAAAACACACACACACGCGCGCGCGCGCACATTACCCCACAAACAAGAACAATAGAAAAACCTTGTTTTAAGCGCAGTTTTAGAGTGATCTGTCATGTAGCATAGACTAGCTGAAAATAATACAACAGAAAAATTCACCTTGGAGAAGAAACCACAGTTCATGAGTGAGTGTGTATACGTTGTGTGTGTATGTGTCTGTGTGTGTGTATAAACCCTCTCCTACGGAACAATCTCACTGTAGATTACTTCTGGCCTCTATTCAGCATCCTGTTCTCACCAGCATGCTAGCGTAAAGCACAGGAGCAAACCAGCTTCTCCATAATTACTCCTCTGTCAAACTGGAACAAAAAGAAAATCATCTTCCCCAAGAAACTGAATTTCATTTTTCCTTCTTTGTCTCTGGGCAGCACTGTCTCAAGTTCTGTCTTCCCCGAACTACGCACTGGGCTCCGCCATCCTCTGGACGCCCAGCGGCCCTCAGCTCATCATAGCGGGGCCCTCCAGCTCAAGAGAAGGCATCGTCTGGAACAGGAAGGGGGCTCAGCTCTCCAGAGCCATGGGAGCTGCAGGAAGAAGTGGGGTCCGGCCCAGGCTTTCGTCAGCCCAGCTGAGACGCTTCTGCCACATGGGCCCTGCCTGGCATGCCTGAGCACATGGCCCACCACCAAGTCGTTCTCTTTCTTCTTCAGGTGCAGTCCACACAGTTCTCCTAGACTGACTGCCACAGCCTCCCTCTACTTCTCGTCTATCTGACACCTGTCTTTGTCACCCTGGAACATGCTCTACCTTTCTGACTCGCTGCTTATAACAGAGCATCAGTGAGAGCCCTGGATTCACACTCAGCACTCCAGCCTCCTCAAGCTTCAGACCCCGTTGTCCTCGGCATCCTTCTCCCCAAGCAGGAAGCACTGCTTCTGTGTACAGGAAGTGCCACCACAGCCTGCTGCCTCGTCCTCTGAACGCAGCAGGTCACCAGATTCTCTAACAATGGGTTTCTCTTGTCCTACTGGTTCCCTCCTTGACTCTGTGTCAACTACTCCTCTATAGACAACTCATCCCAAAGTGTCGGCTGCTCCCTGGACTGCTTTTTCTTCAGGCAGGCTACCCTCACAAGGACGCACACACAGCCACTTCCAATGGGGGCCCTGACTTCCAAATTTCACTGCTTGGACATTCAGCAACAATGCACTGAGTGCTTCCGTGTGCCATGAGCTCGCTGCCTTGGCCCGCAGTGATGGGTGTAGGTTTACCACCAGGACCAGAGCCCCAGCCGTGTTCATGTGCTCACCTGTCTGCCCGATGACAGAGGCACTCACTCTGTGGGGAATCCTTGAGGACACCTTCAAGGTCACTCGGATCTGGTAGTACCTAAAAAAAGAGCAGAGGACAGGCTGCTGAGAAGCAGGTTTCTTAATGCTGGCTTCTAAAAATATCTAGACTTAATCCTAAGCGCCATAAAACACCATGAAAGGTTTTAGGCAGTAAGTACAATCATCTGGCACCAAAGGGAAATGCATCCTATTGGCAGAATCAGTGAGGAAGCCAAGGGGCAAAGGTGGAGGCAGGAAGTTGAGTTTACCTGAGCTCAAGAAGGACTGAGGACCGCGGGACTAGGGAACGGGCCATGTGGGTCATGTGACACAGTTATATTAAGGAATATGGTTTTTCTCTTGTTAGGAGAAGTCCACTGTTACAGGAAAATAGCTGCTCTAGTGCTTGTGGGAACAATCCAAATATAAATTGAGTTTCTGTCATGTTATAACACACATACGCGCGCGCACACACACAAACGCTTCCTTCAGAAATGCAGCCGCTAAGTTATTCCTGGGAGTGATGCCAAACACTTTTCCCAGGATATTTCTGCTCCTTTATTTTCGATCTATCTCTCCCCTTTCCAGATCCACCATTTTAGGACGTTGCAGGGTCCCGGGCTGTCAGCACATTCTGCACACTCTCCTTTGCCACAAGAACAGAAGCGCTTCCGTAGTCCCGTGCTTGGCAATTAATGACTTGGGAGCACTTGTGGCATCATAATTGTTTTCCCCTTCCACTGACTTCAAACCCACTGTGAAATGGGATGTGAATAAAACAAAGGGAAATACAAGGAAAATGGACCGTGAACGCATTTGTACCCCGTGGCTCACTGAACCCATGGCTGGGGGAGGTCTCTGCTACCGACTCAGAGCATGAGAAACGCATCCACAGAGCGTCTCTGCTGGCAGTCCTGTGTTTGCTGCGGTGCGGTGAGCAGGGGAGGTGCAGAGCCACAAGGACTGACTGGTTGTTTACCTGCGTTCGGGCGATGTCACCTGAGTTTGGAGACTCACATAACTTCTCCAAACTCATATCTGGATCTGCAAAATGAGGCTCTTTCTTGAAAGTACCTGACAAGGGGCCAGTGATGTGGTGATTAAGGAGTTGGACCCCCACGTGGCTGAAGGCGGTCAGAGTCCTGGGACCTTCAGTTTGAAATCATACTTACACAGGTATGTCCCTGCCAAGATCCCAGGAGAAGAATGGAGGAGAAGGGATTGAGGGATGGCCATCACCCCTGGGGAGGATGATTTCTCACTTTCCTTCTCTACGTCTCTCTCTGTCTCCTCTCAAGTGGGTGCATGCACCCTTTAGCAAAAACATTTTTAAAAAGTACCTGACACGATTTCTGCTTCCTGAAAGATGGATTCATCCTACTTTCTACTGTTCTTTCCACATCTAAAATCCCAGCATTCAACAAAGAAAGCTCTTAAAGGCAGAGAGGAAAGCAGATGGGACCCAGGGAAAGACACAGTACTGAGATTTCTACGTTTCCTTGTTTGCCTCTCATATTCTAGAAATACAGATATGTGTCTCGATATGCTAATATGCCATAAATGCTAATAGCCACAGATTACAAAGTTAATAAAAGAGCACAAAAAGAAACTCCAACAAAAAGCCTTCTTAGTTTAGTCAAAAGATCAGGAAGAGGGCAGCCTAGCACAACATAAACCTTTATTTTATTTTTTTTTTTTTGAGATATTTTCACTGTAGGGCGCGTGCGCTCGCCAGACAGACAGAGAGAGACATAGAGACAGAAAGCGAGAAATCACCCCCCAGGGGGGATGGTCACGCTGCAATCCCTTCTCCTCCATTCTCCTCTCGGGATCTTGGGCACGCATGCACACGCGCCCGAACAACATAAACCTTTCAAATGATAGCTTTCTACTACAAAAAAGCAACACAGAGAAAGCTGTGGACCCATCTGCACCTCACCAGCTAAGGCTGAGTGGGAAGTCTAGACTTCTACCATTGCCAGGGTGCAAGAAAATGTCCCCCATCCCTGACCTGCCAAGATAAGTTCTTAAGGAACGAGCTGAACTTTCGTCCCTAGAGGAGAGCAGTGAGAACCCCAGCCACCCTGGTTTGGTGGACACCACGCAGGAAGCCTGAGCTCTGCCCCCTAAGTAGCAGTATTAAGGCCACCGATATGTCCATGTGATTTCTCACAAAGGTGTAAAAACAATTCGATGAAGACAGCCTTTTCAATAAATTGTCCCACAGCACTGGACATCCATAGGTAAGACAACCACAAACACACGATCCAAAAACTAACTCAAAACAGATCATGGGCCTAAGTGAAAAAAAGGTTTAAAAAACTGTTAGGAAAATTTCCTAAATATATTCTAAACATAGAGCTAAGCATAGAGTCCTTAGATTTGACTCTAAAAACATGAACCCTAAAAGAAAACGATGAGTAAGTTCTATAATTGAAAGCTCTTCTCTGAAAGGCCCTATTAGAGGCTTAAAGGGTAGACAGCAGAGCGGGAGCTTAGTGGAACAGCCCACGGAGGACAGTGTACAGAGGACACGGGATGCCTCTGCAGTGTTCTTTAAAATGGCCTGTTCTTCCGTAATTATACCAAAATATCATTTCAAAAGTACCTGTCCTGTTCAACGGGAAAATAACAATGACTGATTATGGTGGAAATGGCAGGATGGGGCTGGCAGGTGGCAGAGGTTAGGCAGCTGGGTTTCACATGGCTAATCACGTGGTTTCAGTCCCTGATCTAGTGGCTTGAAAAACATGCAGGTACATATGTGTGCATGCCCAAAATCCCAACAGGAGAATGGAGGGTAAGAGACTGGCATGGCCATTCTCCGTGGAGGGTTTTTTTCATCCTCCCTCTTTCTCTGTTTTTTTCCTTTTTCCAGCAAGTGCGTGAGCCTGATGAAGACACGGAGACAGAGAGAGAAAGTAGTGAAAAGGAAGGAAGGGTCCATGGAATAAACTCTGAAGGCCGTGCTAGGCAATAACACCAATCCCATTTAAGAAAACGCCAGGTCCACTCCAGCTTCCTGTTCTTCCACCACGTTAGGTAGAAATGGAGGCAGAGTCACAGGGCACCACCAGGGAAATCCCAGCAGGAGCACAACAGCTAACAGCCGAGAACACCAGCATCCGAGAGGGGGTGCCTGGCAGAGGGGCAGGTCCCTGCCCTGTCCCTGGGGCGACTGCCATTTAGAGCTACCAGTTAGCAGAAGCATCGACCGCACGTTGCCAGATCTTTTGAGTTTACAGGGGAAGGCAGGAATCCAAGTTTTAGACAAAACACCTTTAAAATGTGAAATATTGGTTCACAAATCAACGACAATGACAACAGCAATGACGGTTAGCAGAGGCAGCCACAGCCACGACATGAGTGATAAAGCACCGTGTCAACAAGACCAAACAGTCTGCAGGCTCCGTCCCACGCACCAGTCAGCCACTGGTCAACTCCGGTCCCCACAAGAGCAGGATGTTACCTTGGGTGTGTCTTTAATCACAGACCCGTGCATTTCGGCAATTTCATCACCCAGCACTCTCTGAGCACCAATCGTCCTGCCCTAGTGCTTCTCTGAGCAGACAGCAGATAACCGCTGCTGGGGCTATGCATCACTCTCCTGTCAGCCGAGCTCAAGGGTTATTAAGCATCTCTGTGCCAGACCCTGCACTGGGAACTTCCACAGAGAAAATCTCGTTTGACCCTCCACAGATCCTCTGTGGAAAAAAAAAAAAAAAAAAAAAAACAACGCGTTAGCAGTTGAGCCATTGGAGAGATCTCACTACCTACCCAAAGCCGCAGAACTAGGAAAGGACAACCAACCAGAATTCTTTTATTATTATTATTGATATTTTTTTCTATAGGGTGTGTGCACTTGCTGTAGAGACAGAAAAACAGAGAGACAGAAAATGAGAAATCACCCCCTGAAACCATGGCCACACTGCAATCCCTTCTCCTCCATTCTCTCAGGATATTGGGCGCACACTCACATGCATCCTGCATGAGTTATAAGCCTCCAGGTCCAGGACGTGAAACACGGTTGACTATGTGAGAGTCCAGTGATGTAATCATTATGCCATCTGCTGGTCCCCAAGGGTAACCAGGATTCTAACCATAGAGACCAACATATATCTTGTTTCCACTAGGCCTTGTAAGAGTCAAATTTTGTTGTATAGATTTGGCCCTTTTTTTATAACCGATTCCAAAGTGCTTTCTGAATTCTTGTTTCTTAAAAGCATTTGATGTTACTGAATCTCACTTCAAGGAGCCAGTTATCATCTTGAACTTCAGAAGCTGTATAGGCATGAGTTGAAAGAAACAGTTTCAATTAGGTTGGCTCATTTGGGCTCTGTCCTGATTAAACAGAATGCTTAAACTGCTTTTGTAATTCTCTCTTGACGCACTGGAAGTTGCTGCCAGGTCATAAAACCATAAGCCACACATTCATACATGACACGTGTATTGTTTGATCCCTGCAGAAGATATCTGATGCCCTTACTATGACTTCTGTCTTAAAGATGAGAAAAGGAACCATCAGAGATGAACGAATTTGTCCAAGTTCACGTACTCAGTAAGTCATGTAGGCAAACCTCCCAGATCAGCCTTCTAACTTCACATATGGATATCCTTTAATCATCCTGGAGGCATCTTCTTCTAGCCCAAGTCATTCAAAAAAATATTATTGAAGAGAATCACTCTCAGTCCTTGGGGATGAGGAAGTGGTAGGAGAAAATGGGGCAACGGGCGTGGTAGGAATAAACAGAGAACCTAAAACCAGGAACTAGGAAATATAGGCAATTTGCAAATATGTTTGTAGTCTAAATTTTCACAGGACTCCTTTCAGAAAGTAATAAAAAGTCAGTCCCATTGACGTTCATCCATAGGAGAGGCACTCAGCCATGTCCATTTTGTAATGTGGGCACAATCAGACTCTACCCCAAGATCTACATCCTACTCTTCAGAATCTGTGAGTACGTTAGACAAGAATGACAGAATGAAGGTCTCAGATGGAATTAAGGCCGATAAACAACTGGCAGATTATTCTGGTTGACCTTAGGTTACTCAACACAA